AGAGATGGACAATAAATAAATACTAGTATGTCAGATTTTGATGAGTTCTTTGGATAAAAACATATTAGAGTTGCACATATTTATTCCTACCTGGTACATGTTCCAGGAGCCCTGGTTGTGCAGTGGTTAAGCACTCGGCTGCTAACTGAAAGGTTGGCAGTTCGAACCCACCAGCTGCTCCATGCTCTGTGGGAGAAGGATGTGGCAGTCTGTTCCTGTAAAGATTACAGCCTTGGAAACCCTATGAGGCAGTTCTGGTCTGTCCTATAGGGTTGCTCTGTGTCGGAATGGATTGAACGACAGTGCCTTTGGTTTGGGTACACATTCCTGATAGTTTCCTATTTATTAGTAACCTGTTAATATTTGCCGAATCTTCAGTTCCAGCTATATCATGTGTTATAGACTTTATTTTACTTTTAGTAAAGGCCAATTAAACTACTTTCTCAGTAGGACTTAGGCTGTATGAGCTTGTAAGGTTATAAGCACATTTCTAGGTTTAAACCAGGTGGCATGATATATTTGGAGGCTTGCACAGAGTTTTATAGTTTGTTGAATTTGAATGTCTAGCGAGCACATGCATTCTCCAGTTCACTGAAGCCCTCCCCACTCCTTTATTTTCTTGTATGAGGCCTGCTTTATTTATTTATGTTACACATCTGGCATTTGCATTTTAATGCCTTTTTAAAACAGATTTTTAAAAGCAGAACATTATTTTCAAGCTGGAAAATCTGACCTAGCTAAAATTTAGTACTTTAACGATAAATTTCATTTGTTTCCATTCCATGCTTTAATTCTTATTCATTGCTGATAACTGCATATTATATTCAGAAATAGTATTAAGTTAACTATTTAAAAGGCAAGGAGCCCTTGTGGTGCAGTTGTTAAATGCTTGGCTGCTAACTGAAAGGTTGCTGGTTCAAACCCACCCAGCGGCTCCATGGGAGTAAGGACCTGGCAATCTGCTTCCATAAAGATTACAGCCTAGGAAACCCAATGGGGCAGTTCTACTCTATCCTATAGGGTCACTGTGAGTTGAAATGGACTCAAAGGCACACAGAAACATCTAAAAGGTAAAATTTAAGGAATTCTTTAGCTTACTAGAGATCTGTAGGTACTATTTAACCACTCGTAATGCATGCTGAGAAAAGCCTGGAGGGGATTGTATGTATACCAATATATTGGGTGAAACTATGAGCTTTTTAATTTTTTTCTTTTGATTATTATGTTAGCTAGCAAGTAAGAATAGCTGAATTGGTTTCCTTTTTCTTTTTTAAGTAAAATGTGGGAACATGTATGTTGTATAAAATAAATATATGTGCAGTTATAATGAAAATAGCATTTTTGGATGAGGAAATAGGCTTTAAGATTGTCTACTATGACTCACTTATGCCTTTTTCATTTTAAAGACTTTTCAAAGATATTTCAAAGCAGAGCATTTTTAAAAAATGCCATGTGCTTGCAGTGCCATGTGAAAGATACTGGAAAGGCATCAGCAGCCTCTGCTTCTGCAGTGGGACTTCATTCTGCAGGTGCAGAACTTACACTTTAGCTTCTTTTTCCTCCTCCTTCATTATCTTTGACTTGGTGATGTGTGAAACTGGGAAACCTGTGCTTGAGAAGTAGGAGTGCTCCCCAGCAGCAGCCATGTTGTTGTAAGCTGCTGTCAGGTTGGTCCCCAACTCACGGTGACCCCGTGCACAACAAAATGAAATGCCGCCCAGTGCGCACCATACCCATGATTGATTGTGGATCAGATCGTTGCGATCCATAGGGTTTGCCTTGGCTGATTTTCAGAAGTAAACCACCAGGTCTTTCTTTCCTAGTTCATCTTAGTCTGGAAGCTCTGCTGAAACTTGTTCAGCATCATAGCAATATGCAAGCCTCCACTGACAGGTGGTGGCTGTGCATGAGGTCCACTGACCTGGAATCGAGCCAGGCCTCCCCCACGGAAGATGAGTTTTCTGCCACTGAACCACGACTGTGCCTACAACTGCAGCCATCGCGTGTAGTTTATTGAACTGAACTGTGGAGGAGCCCATAGGATTGGTATGCTAATTCTTGGCTTTATGATACTGACAGCTTCCTTTCTGAGCTTTTCACCTTCTTCAAGTCTCAACTTTTGATGTCAAATAGTTTTATGACATGGTTTTAGGTGATAACACTGATCTGGCATCCAGTAACCTAGGTTCATATGGTGAGAGTTACTCCTTTTTCAGTTTTCTGAGTAGTCTGATTACTTAAGCAGAAGGATAGTTATTTTGGAGCTGATGTGTAACACTTCTCAACATCTGTCAATCCCCATTTCTGACACAGCAAGCAAGCTTCAGGCTGCTAAGCTTTAGCAGGCAGGAGGACCTAGCTAGAATTTAATAACATTCTATTTATTTTTATATTGCCTTAAATTATTTTTTTTATCCCCCAAGTACAAGTAGTTTATTTGGAAGTGTACACCCAGGAAACACCTATAGGGGAGTGAGAAGTGAGACGGAGGGTAAGGAAGCCAGTAAACAAGTCATCACTGTGAGCAACTGGAGCATAATCCCAGTGGGGAATTCTGGGAGCCAGTGTAGAACATGTGCCTCCGTTACCTTACCTGAGCGTAAAGGCTGCTATGGGGTGTTGACACCGATTTCTCATCAGTCATTGCTTGAGGACTTCTGGGGATGGTAATCCTCCAGAATGTCCAACCTGCTCCTACTGCAGGCAGAGCAAGCTCTGGCAGCCAGAGAGAAGACTGAGGCAAATCAGCTGGTCGCAGGTGCTGACATTTGGAAGTCTCGCCTGCCTTCGTGGACAAGTTTAAGTGTGTGGGGCACTGACAGTGTCTGCTACACCCCTAAAGAAGCTTCTCCTGCAGTCCTCTTTGTCTTAGGAAACAGCAGCCCTGTCTTTGGTGCTCAGGCCAAAAACCCTGGAGTCATCCTTGACCCTTCTCTTATATCGCACATCCAGTCCATCAGCAAATCTTGCTGATTCTACCTTTAAAATATATTTAGAATCCAGCCTCTTCTTTTCACTCTCACGGCCACTATCTTGTCCAGTCTCCATCACCTCACAGCCTCCTAACTTCGTTTCCTTCCCTTAGTTTACTCTCAACACAGCAGCTGGAGTGATCCATTAAAACCTAAGTCAGATCATGTCTCTTCTGCTCAAAACCCTCCAGTGGCCCCATCTCACTCAGAGTAAAAGCTAAGTCTTTACAATGCCTCTAAGGCCCAACTTGATCTGGCTTCCTTCTTATGTATTCTGCACACCTGCCTATCTATTGGTGCATGTACAGTTCTTTTTGTCTTTAGCTTTATATCTAGTCAAAATAGTTTCTTCCCCGTTCCTTTCAATATCGGTTATGTGATTCATTTGTAAATTAGTTAAATTCATTTGTCACAATTTGCGATCCATCTGTCCCACTACATCCTGGTTGACTTCTTAAAATTTATGTAAAATAAATTCACTTTTTATTGTGTACAGTTCTATCAGTTTTGACAAATGCATAATGTATCCAATACCACAGTTCCATACAGAACAGTTCATTGCCCTAAAAATTCTCCCATGCTACCCCTTCTATAGACAACCCTTTTCCCCACCTTCCGGCCCCTGGCAACCACTAATCTGTTTTCCTCTCTTTAGTTTTGCCTTGTCATTGTCATTTGAATGGGATTTTATAATATGTAGCCTTTTGGGTCTGTCTGCTTACACTTCACAAAGTACATTTAAGATTCTTCAATGTCATGTGAATTCATAGTTTATTTCTTAAGTGTCCCTTAAAATAAATTTATTTATTTAAAAAAGAAGTGAATTGATGGATTAAAAAAAAAAAATTGCCTAAAGCATTTTAGTGTTGGTGGAATGTAGATAGGATAAAAATCTTGAAAAGTACCTGAGTGACTAAGGTTTGGAAATCAGTGATAATGTGATAGAAAAATGGCAGATAAAGGCTTTCTTTTACCTGGTACCTCTGTCAGTAATTAGCCATGTATTCTTGGGGAAATCACTTAACCTCTCTAATCCCCAAGTTCTGGTAAAAGAAACATTAAAATACCTAATCTGGTAGTTGTTAGCTCTTATCTCCTGAGGTAGGTGTGGTTCCTAAGACACAGGATATTTTAGGTGGTTTTGGTAGCTCTTTTAACATTAGCATCTCATTGTTGTGAAGCAGTGTCACCCCTGTATTTCAAAGTTAGGACCCGATGATAAAAATGCTTTATAAAACCTATACTCGTTGCTATTGAGTTGATTCCGAATCATAGTGACCCCTGTAGGACAGAGTAGAACTGCCCCATAGGGTTTCCAAGGAGCAGCTGGTAGATTCAAACTGCTGACCTTTTGGTTAGCAGCCAAGCTCTTAACCACTGTGCCACCAGGGCTCCTGTAAAAGAGCCAGCCAGTAGGAATGAGGTAAGCCTTCCTTGTAAGGCTCCAGTTCATTGGGTTTTTTTTTCCTTTCTGTTGAGCCTAAGTCGGAGCTGTAGGCATGTGGAGGAGGTACTGGGGGTGCCATAAATCTCAGCAAGTTTTCTAGCAACCTCTTCTGTTACTGTAGCATTTAGACTTTAATCCCCGTAGTCCTGCCCTTAGGTAGATTTTCCCAGGGGTGTCTATAAAGGTTGATTGTTGGGGTTTCTCGTTTCCCAGAACCTTATCACATCAATGGCAAAATGTGTTTGAGGGTTACTGTGTGTTTGAGAATATTCCACTAACAACAGAAGTTCATGGAAAACAAGAAAGGAAACCAGTGGTATTTAGCTGTTTTGTTTTTATTTTCAAAGATGGGCAGATTCATAGTAATTCCTTTTAAAATCATGATTAATAGGTGCTTAAAATCCCTAGCCGGGTAGCTTTTTTATTGCAAGGGAATAGTAATGGAGTTGTATTTAGGTGCTAGAGTGTCAGTGTCAAATCAGAGAGTAAGTGAAAGGAATTTGAGAGCCTCAAAATTGCTATGATGTGTGGTTCTCTTATATGTGGCACATAGTAATATTTATTTTACTTTTTACTTTTAGTAATGAATGTTATAACTATTGAAGATTATAAGAGCACATACTGGCCAAAATTGGATGGTGCCATAGATCAACTTTTAACCCAGAGTCCTGGTGACTATATCCCTATATCCTATGAACAGATTTACAGGTAAGTCAAGATTTAATTTATCTGGCTTTGAAAGGGTATATTAAGGTTTACTGCAACTTGAATTATGACAGTATGTATACATATAATATATAATACATAACATGAGGCCCTGTAAATATTTATATACCCCACACTTGTGGATTGGAGGTTTGATTCATACTTTTTGCTTTAAAAGTGATTTGCAAATCAAGATAAACTCCACTTGTCTAGACATTAGACTTTCTGCCACCTCACCTTTCCACCGTAGCCATCCTTACTGCAGACACTATGGAGGTAAGTGAAAAAGGGAAGACTGTCATTAAGAATCAGGCACAAAAATACATATTGTTAGTCTCCCAGGGAGACCCTAGCTTAGTCCACTGATGCTTTTTTTTTTTTAATTTCAATTATTTATTTATTGTGCTTTAGGTGAAAGTTTACTGCCCAAGTTAATTTCTTATACAAAAATTTATACACATATTGTTACGTGACCCTAGTTGCAATCCCTGTAATGTGACAGCACACTCCCCCGCTTCCACCCCAGGTTTCCCATATTCATTCAACCAGCTCCTATCCCTTTCTGCCTTCTCATCCTGCCTCTGGACAGGAGCTGCCCATTTAGTCTTTTGTATCTACTTGAACTAAGAAGCACGCTGTTCCCAAGTATTATTTTATGTTTTATAGTCCAGTCTAATCTTTGAAGAGTTGGTGTCGGGAATGGTTTTAGTTCTGGGTTAACAGAGAGTCGGGGGCCATATCTTCTGGGGTACCTCTAGTCTCAGTCAGACCATTAAGTCTGGTCTTTTTGTGTGAATTTGAGTTCTGCAGCCCACTTTTCTCCTGCTTTGCCAGGGACTCTCTGTTGTGTTCCCTGTCAGGGCGGTCATTGGTGGTAGCCGGGCACTGTCTAGTTCTTCTGGTCTCAGGCTGATGGAGTTTCTGGTTCATGTGGCCCTTTTGTCTTTTGGGCTAATATTTTCCTTGTGTCTTTGGTGGTCTTCATTCTCCTTTGCTACAGGTGGGTTGAGACCAGTTGATGCATCTTAGATGGCAGCTCGCTAGCTTTTAAGACCCCACATTGATGCTTATTGACACACCATTCTAATTAGCTTTGACTGTTGTGTTTCCCAGCTCCTGGTAAATGGAAGGAAGCAGTAAATTAGTGAAGAACCAGGGTAGAAGATGAGATTAGTGCAGTCACAGAAGAGGGAAGTGACAACTATGTTGTCCCAAACAACTGATGTACAAAGAGGGTATATTGCAAACATTTTTGCAAGTTAGAAATTTTTTCTCTACTTATTATCACTCTTGCTTCCTTATTTTGACACTCATAAAAAATAGAGCGAGTGAGCCACTCCACTGAGAACTTGGTTTGTAAGTAGTTGCCATATTCAGACCCTCAGATTATCACTCAATACTAGATTATCTATGACTGACTAAATGTGTAAGAGGTGACTCAAAGTAGATTATTTGCAGCTAGTGGTAATATCACTTCTATCTAAAAACTAACTGGAGGAGAGTAAAGTTTTATTTAAAAATTGTAGTTGGTCACTGTTTTTAGGCCTGAATTAATTATTTGACCAGTGGTTGTATATGGGAGGTGAGCTTTAACTGGAGGTTAAGTGCTTTGTTGTTAACTTGGTTTTTGTTTGTTTTTTCACAGTTGCGTGTATAAATGTGTTTGCCAGCAGCACTCGGAACAGATGTATAGTGATCTGATTAAAAAAATAACTAATCACTTAGAGAGAGTCTCAAAGGAGCTGCAGGTAACGAACTGATTGTATTGATTTTTACTTTCTTGGGATTTTCTGACTGACTGGAATTAGCCTGTATAATATACATTCGGAAACTTGTTAATTTGATAGTGATGTAAACTCAGGGGTATTTTCTACATGAATGTTGACCAGATCTTGTACTTGCTAATCTTTGGTATAGATTGTTAACTTGGAAATTTGCCATAAATTATAAAAATTCTTAAATTGAATGCTCCAGGCCTTAAACTGTCATCCCAGCTATGAAATTTGGGGGCGAGTTATAGAAAATACTCTGTTTAAGGGAGCATTTGGCCTCTGGACTTCTCCTCCCCACCTTCTGTCCCCTCTGGCTCAGTGACGCTTCCAGTACTTGAAGGTCGGGGGCTGTCTTTATGCCAGGGCCAGATCACATTTTACTTCTGGTGCAGAAGTAACATGATGTCCAGAAAAGTCACTCAGCAGTAGATTACCAGGGTCCACACAACAACTGGGAAGTGCCCCAGCAGTTCTTGAGTAACCACAGTTTCCAGCAAATGGTGAGGAGTGTTTGGGCTTGGATATTATTCCTCACTTACCTTGTGGTCTGAGGTATCTTAGTCCTTTTTAGCCCAAACAGTTGCGCTAATTAGGTATTTTTTTCTTTTTAAATTATATCCAGAGCTATATTTTATCATAGTGAAATAAATACTTTTCCTGTTGTTAGTGTAAATTGTTCTCTTCATCCTATACATCTAAATACAAGATTTTTATTCATTCAACAAGTATATTTTGTGCCTAGACATAGTGTATGAATTGTAAAGAAACCCAAAATGTATGCATTATGGTTTTGGATGATTTGCTTTCTAATTCTTGACTCCACCCTCTACCTCAATTCCCATATCCAGTTTATTGCCAAATCCTATTTACTTCCTATATGTCTCTTGACTCTTAGTCACTTCCCAAGCACTTACTGCCACTGCCCTTGTGCAGGTCACCATCATCTCTCCAGCGTTTTACTAAAGTGCTCATCTCAACTGGTTGCTCTTCTTCTAGTCTTAACACCTCTAACTTACTCCTTGCGTTGTAGTCAGAGTGACGTTTTCTAAAGCACAAATCTGATTGTATCACATTCCTGTTAGTTAGAACAAAGTCTAAGCTTCTTAATGTGGTATAGGAAGCCTTTCATTATCTGATTCCTGTGTATTTCTGTGGCCTGATTTCTTACCTCTGCTCCTACATACTGAACTTATTTGAGTTGTTTGAACATTTTGTATACTCTCTTTATCTCTTGGCTTTTGCCATGTTAGCTTGACTGCCTGGAACATTCTTTTTCTCATTTGGCTCTCTTATTTGTTTTGGTCAATGCGAACTTACCATTTAGGCTGAAACTTAGACGTCATTTGTTTCGGGAAATAGTCTTTGAAACCTTTTTCCCCCAAGTTTGGGTATGACAGCGCCTCATCTGTGCTTCTCTAGCACCCTGTACTCTATCATATTTTATTATTTATTGTTATTGCTTATTTAGCTGTTCCCCCCTCCCCCGTACTCCTGTTCCTCCTTATATTCTCAGAGGACAGAGGAACATGTGTCTTCTTTATTATTGTATTCTCAGTACCTAGCGCAGTACCTCATACATACCAGGATTGAATATTTATTGAATGGAATGTATATTGAATGAATGTTTATGAATAAATATTTACTGTTAGTGAAAAGATTTTCTGTTATAAATCTGAGTTTAATCCTGTTTCTTAATTTGAGGTCTGGGTGGTCTTGGGGTGCAGGGAATGTTGCTGGAACTATGAACCTCTTGATATTTTACATAGAGTTAAGAGCACTTTTTGGAAGGGGATAGAGGTACCAGAGCTTTCACTAGACCAGCAAAAAACTCTGACCTCAAAAAGGATAGTTTTATTAACATTGTTTTGGTATTATTGAAATGATACTATACTTTTCTTCTGTAAAACAGAAAGCAAACCATTTCAGTTAAAATTATTAGGCCAGAATGTATTACTTATCTGGCTTACAAAACTTATCTATGAAATATGAATTGGAAATTTTATAGTATATTACGCTTCTGCTCTGCCTTCATATGTAGATCATTAATGTAACTGATAGAGTTGTGATTTGCTATATTTATTTGTCATAGGGCAGTTTCTGTTTGAGTAGATTTTTCTTGTATTTAGTTTTGTAAGGACAGTAAGAATTATTTTTATTCTTATAGTTAGAATATTATTGTAAGATATTTTTAAAGTTAGAGGGCACTCTAGTATTGTATTATAAAGCTCAATCTAATTAATGGTTTTGGAAGGACATTTTACGTGGCTATAATTTTTTGGGCAGGAAGTTGATTGACTGGTTATCAATAATGTGAAATAACCTGTTGGTTGCTCAGTGTGGGCTGCACAGGGTCCTAATACTTTGGCGTCACTGAGGTTCAGGGAGTGCGCCTGTGAGATGTTGGGGTCTTCCATGTCATTGCACAGAGAGAGCTCCCTCATTCTTTATCATGACTGCATAGTACTTCGTTGTATGGATGTACCTTAATTTACTTACCCAGTGTTTGATTGATGAGTATTTAGGTTGTTTTCAGTCTTTGACTATTACTAACAATGCTGTAGCGAATAATCAGTCTTGAAAGTATTGCAAAGTATGGCAGCTCACGGAAGTTGTATCAAGTTACATTTCCACCAGCTCTGAATTAGAGTGCCTGTTTCCCCTTACCTTTACTAGTACAGTGTGTTATGACACCAAATAATTTTTACTTACAAATTAACATGTGAATAATTCTTACTAAAAATTAAAACATAAAGATGATGGCCCCTTTGATAACAGTGTCTAAAAAATGTATTGATAAATGTAAAGGTTATATGTGATGTAAAACTAGGGAATTTAGTTTATTTTTAAAATCAATACATGTCCTACTTGGAGGTCAGCAGTATGGTCCTGTAAACAAATTCACTTCAAAATGATGTCTTTTGTAAGATTATAAATTCTGTGACCATTATTAAATAGCAAGGTGGAGTGGTTAAAAACACACTGAACTGAGAGTATTGTGGACCTGGGCTTGGTCTCAGCTCTTGATTAAATGTGCTAATAGCATCTTAATAAATTTTCTCCACGTTAAAATGAAGTGGCTTTACTAAAATGTGTGATTCCTTTAAGCTAAGTCCTAAGATATTTTTTCTTCTGCTTCCTGCTTGCCAAATGCTTCTGCATTCTTCTGAGGCTTAAACTCATTTGTGTCCACCTGTGTGATGTTGTGAGCCTTCCTGAAACTGCCGCATCCCTCAAAACATAACAGATGGTTGGAATTTCTTATTCCGTGTACCCATAGCGTCTTGGCAATAACAGCTCTGTTAGAGCCATGATTGTGTTATGTCGTTTCTGCTTCCATGTCTGGCTACTTCATAGGCCCACCTTTGAGGGCTGGGACTCTATTTTGTTGGCTTTTTTGTCCTCAGTGCCTGGCACAATACAGCTCAGCAAATGTGTGTTGAGCAACTGCTCAGCAACTAAATTTGACCTTTATACCAATGCAGAGTAGTGTAAAAACGGCATGAGGGCGGTATCTGACCTCCTCTAACTTCACAAGAGGAAAGGAGAATCAAGATCAACAGCCCAAGGCTGATTCCCATGATGCAGAGGTCACGGGAGGTCCCTTGCACGGCACTCTCTGCTTCTCTGCTGGGTTTGATAATGCATTGCCATGGCCACACAGAGCTCACAGATGATACTCGTGATTATGGGATTTATTAGGGAAGTAACAGGTTACAGTTCAGCTTCAGAAATGCTCAGGATACAGTTCTTCCATCAGGACAGCCTCTTTTCAGCTGTACTTGCACGTATGCCTCTCTCTGGCCCCTCAACCTCTGCTCTGCTTGCGCAAGTGTTACAAAGTTCTTTTAGCTCTGCTGATAAGTACCCCGAGGTACCCCACTCTGCCAGTAAGCCTTGGGCTGAAGGCGCTCAGCTCTAGCTCCGTGGGTTGACAAACTTACCTCTACCAAGTACCTGGGAGCACCCTACTCCACCAGCAAGCCTCCTGCCCAAAGGCATTCAGCTTTCTCACTCCTTGGGTCAGGAAGCCACCATGCTGTCTTCTGCCGGTCTCTCCTTTCACCATTTCTCTGCCACCACTTCTCACTGTCTTCAGGTTACAGTTCGCTCTCTCTTTCTTGCTGTCTCTCCCTCCTCTGGTTCCAGGAGTTCTCAGTGCAGGGATCCCGGGTCCAAAGGACATGCTCCACTCTTGGCTCTCCTTCCTTGGTGTGGTGGTGGGATCCTGTCTTTCCCACCTCTTGGATGGCTCATTTCAATCCCAGCGGGATGGCAGAACTGACAGATCCCTTTGGTGGGCTACAACTACCCTGTTTGCACAGTCCCATCCAGTCACTTGGGTGGGAGTTACAAGACCATGGTGAGAAAGGCCACACAAAAGTGATCCGTCGTTCTGCAAGTAGCATAATTTGCCTGTAAGACCACTGATGTTTATGTCTTCTAGAATCTTAAAAAATAAACGCAACTGAGGTTGAGTCAATTGCAACTCATGGCGACCCCATGTGTGTCAGAGTAGAACTGTGCTCCATAGGGTTTTTAGTGGCTGATTTTTCGGAAGTAGATTTCTAGTCCTTCTGAGACGCCTCTGGGTAGACTCGAACTCCAAGTTTTTTGGTTATCACACAAGCGTGTTAACCGTTTGTACCACCCAGGGACTCCTCTAGAAGCTTAGACATTTTACTAACTTATTCAGTGTTACAGGTACGTGGCCAGGTGTAATCTCTACTGTATAGAGACCTTCAGACAGTTTTCAGGGGACAGAGAACAGGAGTATCTGTCCAGTCCCACAAGTGAGAGAGATTATTTGGGTAGAAGATTTTGCTTGCAGCTCTCATTTTTATAGTGAAATATTGTTGTTGTGAGCCACAACAAGAGTGTGAGATGAATTGCATTTGGTGGATAATTAGAAGTTTAGTGTTGGAGTTGATAAATCAATGAGTTTGGGCCTACGAGGCATTGGCCTTTGTCAAGGGCAA